AATATCTCAGATTAAACCGATAACTTTTTGGTGTCCAACCCAGTTTTATCGATTATACTTGCGAAGAAGGGGAGGAATGTCAAATGTTAAAGTAAACAAAAATTGACGCTAGTAAGGAAAATAGGTTTGGAAAGGTATTTTTAACAAAATATTCAGTTAAAATATATTTAAATGGCTTAATATGTGTTGCAAAAAAAAAGTGACCACGGTGGCACAGAGAAGAAGTTTAACTTTTCCTCGAGTTTTGTGAATAACAAGCACAACCAATTTGACAGCTAACGAGCTTTGATTGAGATTATATTTATATGTAAACGTACTTTTATGCTTTGCCGTTCGCATATGTATACACATCAAACTTCATGAGTACCTAGTATTCACGCCTTTTTTTCAAGACGAATATGATTTACATCTTCTCATAATAATCATATGGGACTTTTATTGAGTTAAAACTTCTTTATCGAGTTCGGAGATTTAGGACCGTTAATTTATCTATTTTCAAGTAATTCTATGGAATTTTCTGTAGTTAAATGAAATAAATAAATAAACTATAGCTTAAGACAGATACGCTAACAGCCCTTAAAGCGTTAAATATATTTATATGTGACACGTAAAGTTAAAAGGGACCTACGCTCAGAAAAAAAAGATTTCGACTTTGAAGTTTACCAAGTTGATTTTGATGCTTCTGAACGTTTTAATGGATTGAAATTCGTTACACGGGGGTTTTCGGGGTCGCTGATTACGAATCCGATGTTAGTTTTCCAAAATTCAAAATGGCGGATCCAATATGGCGGATGACTTTTTTAAAAATTGATCGGAATCGCTTGAAACTCATTACCCGGGGGTTTTTTGTGTCGCTGATTACGAATCCGATGTTCGTTTTTTTTAAATTCAAAATGGCGGATCCAATATGGCGGAAAAAATTTAAAACTTGTTCGGATTCATGTGAAACTCAAATATGTCGTTGACACCGAAAACGAGGGCGTGATTACGAATCCGATGTTCGAAAACCCCCGAGTAACGAGTTTCAAGCGAATTTGATTAATTTCAGAATAGTTTGTCAGATTTGATTTTTTTGTACTTTTTTTGTGTGAAGGTACCTAACTTTGAAGTAAAATTGTGAAATAACTAATGCAGCTAGAAAGCTGCGGTTTATTGCATTGGAAAGAGTGGCCCGTTTACTATAAGAGTCGATGAAAAAGTGAAAACCGATTTTTTCTGACCGTAGGTCCCTTTTGACTTTACGTGTCACATATATATATACATATATATATTAAAGGCTTTCCTTTTACGTGGCTTTGGTTCTTGAAAAGGGTTACCAGATGTTAGAAAATCAAATACAAATAATCGAGTTCGGAGATGTTTACGTAAAATATTTAACCCACCGTCACCACATCTGCAAAGAGAATTGACGAGATTGGTATGTAGAAGTGCAATACGGTTTTATTTTTCAAAAAAGGTTTGCCACATAATAGAAATTAAATTCAAAATATTAAAATTATTTAAAAAGTTATATGGGTTATAACATATGGGTATCAATCCAAATGGTTTTGATTATTTTATTTTTTAACTATACATATATATTTTTTTTTATTTTGTTATGTACAATGTGCATGTTCAATTAAAGATATTTAATTTTGGTTATTTTTTATAAAAATATAGTTTATTCTTTAACAAGACCCGTGTAAATCCAAGTTTCCAAATTTTAAAAAAATTAACAAATCAGTAGTCCACTTGCAAACAGCGTTATGTGATTTTATAATAGAAAGCCATAAATTTGAAAAAACGACTACGATAACAAGTAACATTTAAATAGAATATTTTTTATTATTACCTGAAAATTTGGATAAATAAGAGCCTTATAAAATTATAACATAGTATACCATGACATAAGATAACATTAACAGTCTACACGACCTAAAGCAGTTTTCTAGGTTCATCAGAAGATGGATACTTTTAAAAGTTTATAAATAAGTATGATAACGACTTTTGGAAGAAGAGTTAACATTTTATGCTATTTTTTCAGAATATAAAAAGATTTTGCACTGTGTTGTTAGTGGACATGAACCCACTTTAAATACTGGTACGTAATCCACCAAAAACTAAAAATCGAAAAAAATTTACATATTGCACTTTGCAAGTGTAGTACTCAAATCTTCGTACAAATTTCGAGCCATTTGAAACTTATACTTTATTCTACTGGAATTCAATGGGCAACAAAACTGCATACTCAGAATCTAATTAAAAAACTCGAAATTTTTACGAAAATTTGTTGAATCTTTTTTTGAATTGCATAAATTTTTAAGGCAGTGGCACTCGATTGTTACATTTGTACAGATTGGTATATTTTTATATTGGGCTATTGGAACAAAATACAAAAAAACGGTAAATTTTTTTTTGTGGTCAAAAATTGGTACAATACAGCGATGTTCTATTGAAAAATTTCAACAAACTAATTTTCGTGATTGGGATACGATTTGCACCAAATTTTGGTAAATATCCAATCGTGTGACACTGCCTTTAAACTTGTATTTATACGGATGTTGGTAAAGAACGAACTATAAAAAACTAACCAAAATTAAATAACAACAAATATAATATTTTATAACTTGTGAAAATTTGGTGCGGCTATATTTTTCGACTACTGTACAATGTAAAAAAGTGCGGTTTTTCCGGCGGGATTACCAAACCTTGTACATTTTAAGACTTCTACCACAATATTTCTGAAAAATAATAAAATTTACGTGAGCTGGACTGGTTTGAAAATACCTCTAAAATGGAGTTTTTTATGAATAAAAATAGTTTCTTAATGGATTTTTCCCCAATGGAAAAACAGTTTAAGCTTAAAAAATCTACATAAAAATATTAAAAAATTGTATCAACGGAATCATAATAATAAGAATTTGATGCTGTTTTTTAACTTTTTTCAAAGGTTTGGGTAAGAAAAACTTGAATAACTGCTCCAGCACTTTACTTTTTATTTCTTTGCAAAACAAACTTATTCACGTCCCAAAGTTTTCTTTATCAAATACCAACACATCTTAACTCAACATGGAATGACACGCGTTTATCTTACCTTCCTCTTTCATACTTTGAATGAGCTGATTCACAAAGAAATTCAAAGGGTGAGAAAATACCTTACCTCATAAGTTTAAATTGGTAGGGTTTTTGGGCTGAGTTATTCAAGTTTTTCTTAAACCAGTCTTTGATAAAAGTACAAAAACAGCATCGAAAATCTCATTAGATTAGATTCCGTAGAAATTTTTTTAAAATATTTTTATAAAAATTTTTTAAGCTTAAACTGTTTAGTAATCTGAGGGAATTTTTTTCAAAAAATATTTAAAAAAACTGTTTTTTTTTAATAAAAACCTCAATTTTTGGAGGTATTTTCAAATCGGTCCAGCTCACGTAAATCTTATTATTTTTCAGAAATATTTTGGCAGAAGTCTTAAAATATAATAGATTTCATAATTCCAGTGGAAGAATAGTACCGATTTTTTCTTGTATGCATGGAATGATGCAGTCTACTGTACATAAGTAGACTATGATTACTGGGCCGAGTTATCATAGTAGCACAATGCCACTAAGTGCATTTTAAAATTTTCAGGCAAAAGCCTCATGTGATTATTGATTATATTTTTTGTTGTTTGTGTGAAATATTTTATTTCTATCAGTATTTTTCTTTTAATCAAATTGTGTTGAAATAAAAGTGATAATAAAACAAGTAAGAAAGTCTAAGTTCGGGCGGAGCCGAACATTAAATACCCGGCGCAAGTATTAAATATATGTTTTCCACCTTTCCGAAAGCTACCGCTACATGATAAGCCGGGGGGTATACATTTTAAGTAAATTAGCGTCCT